TTGTTTGTTTGTTTGTTTGTTTGTTTGTTTGTTTTTCGAGACAGGGTTTCTCTGTGTAGCCCTGGCTGTCCTGGAACTCACTCTCTAGACCTGGCTGGCCTCGAACTCAGAAACGCGCCGGCCTCTGCCTCCCAAGTGCTGGGACTAAAGGAGTGTGCCACCATCGCCTGGCTGTGTTTTTTTTGTTTGTTTGTTTGTTGTTTTTTGTTTGAGTCTTTTTAGTTCATTCCTAACAGAAAAATAGCACAACTGTCTGAAAAATATTTACTAAGGAAAATTAAGATAAAACCACTTAACTTTAAATTTTGTCCAGCCACCGAGATTGAAATATGTCTTTTAAGAAAATGCCAGCATAGCTTGGCATGATGGTAACACCAACTCAGGAGGCTGAGGCAGGAGGATCTCTGAGGCAAGCCTGATCTACAGAGTGAGTTCCAAATAGACAGGGCTACACAGAGAAGCCCTGTTTCAAAATGATCAAACAAAAAAGTCTGTGTGATCCTGTTTGCTTGCACATAAAAGTGCTGAGTTGGAAAGGAGACACTGGGAGACGGGCGCGCGTGCGCACACACACACACACACACACACAGATTATTTAGTCTGGGAGAAAATGAGCCTAGATCTTTAGTCTTTATTTCTAAATGGTCAATTTTTTCTTTATCCAAGCTTCTCCCTGTGGTCACCTCATTATAGACACAAGAGAGCGAGGCTCTTGTAGCTGCCAAGTACAGCAGCCAAAGGAAGCTTAACAGTATGGAAGTAGAAGATCCAAAATGTGGTCTCTGCACCCGCAGCTAACTACAGACAAGACTGTCCTCATGCCTGTGTGTTAGGCAAGTGACTCAACCTTCTCCAAGTCTTGTAACCTTGAGCCAAGAAAAAAAAAAAACATCTGAACAGAAAAACGTTTCATTCTTTTGCTGCTGGCAAACTGAAATTTTAAACAGTTATGATGCGAAAAAAACCTATGCTCTGACAGAAATGTATTCACCCCAGAAGCTGAAGAGGCAAAAAGTATCACTAAGCTACCATGAGAAAGAAATCCCACTCCTGAAGATGTGGATCCTTTTAAGAATGGTCCAAAGAGTCACTTTCAACAGTTCAAGGATCATATACACACTCTATACCACACGGCATTAGAACACTGTATTTCATGGTCTTTAATCAACCCCACAGGCAAGACCAGGTCTAAAGGCAATCACTCTGGCAAGTGTCTCCCTGCCCTGTTAAGCATGATTTTGCTTTAACATGACACTAGAGCTACTAAAAGCCGTAAGTTCCAGTCTTTCTCCTCTTAGGATGCACCTGAATAGTCATGGCACTGTCTACAGAGCTTTTACTCTGTGTCTCATTTTGCAGACACATTGCACACCTCAAGAACACAGAGACCTTTTCTCTTATACAACTGTCCTGAACAGCCAGCACCTTGCTTGGCAGAGTAATATTAGAAAAACAATGCTTTGGTTTGAATGTGAAATATTCCCCAAGGGCTCTTAGGTTTGAACACAGGTTCCTTTGCTACTAGCACTGTCTAGGGGGGTTGTGTAGCCTTAAAAACATGGACTCTAGCTGGTGGATGAGGTCAGCAGAGGCAGGCTTTGAGGGTTAAAACTTAATACTGTCTCTTTCCAGAGGGCACTGTGAGCTCATATCACAAAGAACTAAGGTGAGCCAAGCATGAAGTTTTTCCCATTACCAGGGATGTGCCCTCTAAACTGTGAGCCAAAACAAATCCTGCTTCCCTTAAGTTGTTTCTGTCAGTTATTTGATCAAAGAGACAGAAGTCACTAACACATACACTGCCCCAATGAGCCAGTGACCACACCCCTGCCCTGGTGAGCTGGTGACCCCTTGCTCTGGCAGGACTCATTAAACTATGCTTAGAGATGTCGTGACTCAGACAACTCATTGCAGCCTGAAATGTTCATGTCCTTACAGGAACTTCAATCCATCAGCTGCCTGTTTCAGGACCTCACAGAACATATGGAGCACAGAAGATAAAGGTATCCTGTGCCACAAAGTGCCCCTGCGTTACTCACTCTCTTCTCTGCAACCATAAAACACCCCCAAGTGTGAGCCAACATGTTTAGAATGGATGAAGCGGCCTGCTGGGTCTTGAAGCATATTAATAAGACAAAGGCCCTACTTACAGAGTTTCTTCTAATTTTCATCTTTAGACTCTTCTAGGTGCTCTTAAAAGGCCTTCAGACAGATGCCTCACTGCCTTTCAGGGATCCTCTTGGATCTGCAGTCTGTCCTCTGCCTACCTTCCTTTTAGAAGAGTATGCAGAACTAGAAATGGCCATGCTGTGAGGTTGAGTGTACCTATCCCCTTCTCAGCCTAGACAGGCCTACTGCATTAATGCTACTGTCTACCACTACCAATTTATTATTATTATTATTTAAATTGTATATGTATGGGTGCTTTATTTCCATGTCTGGGCATGATGTGTATGCCCACAAAGGCCAGAAAAGCATGTCAGATCCCCAAGGACTGGAGTTATAAATGATGAAAGCCACTATGTGGGGGCTATTCCTCCTCCATTCAGATCGTCTGGTATTTTCAAACCCCCAATATAAAACTTTCCATTTATTTCTACTCCTATCTCACCCTATTAAATTGAGCCTATCATTCCAGCCTGTCAAAATCTTTTCAGATCTCAACTCTATAACTGAATGTATCTTTCCCAGAGCATTTAGAGGAGACGGGGCTTCTGAACTCGGCTTGGGGATTGCTTCCGTGAGCATCCCCTTTCAAACTGCTCGCTGCCAATATCCCCTGTAGTGTCATTGGGCCTACTTGTCCATCTCTCAGAAGGCTGTGCGGATTCTGCAATTTGTCATAAAGGCTCACTGACAGCCGAGGCCAGCCAGGAGCGCCTAATTACCAGAAACCAGACCTGAATGACAATGTCCACAGATCAACCAAGTACCCTCCAGCCCTGGGTCCACTCTGGGCAGCCATTCGAGTGGCCAGGGCTCTGTTCGACATGCAATTTCATCTGGATCTTGTCCAGGTGGCACAAAAGAGGCTCTTGCCCCAAACTTGCTTATTTTCTGTGAATACAGAAAAGATGGCTCAGGAGATTCGACATGAAACCAACATAAAGACTTTCGATTTCTCGGAGCACCATGTTGAAGTAGTAAGATAGCTCTAGGAGAGCCACAAGTGCCCAAGATCCCCAGAGCTTATGCAAATGGCATTGTGCTTTAATCATGCTGAAAAGTGATTCTAAAGGTCGCTTCTTCTAAAGTACATCCTTAATGAAGGGATGTGCTGAGCACGCCTTTCTGGTCATTTCACTGAAAGCTTAGTTTAAGCCGGGTGTGAAAGGTACCAGCTTGAGCTACACAGAGAGATCCTGTATTATAATTCTAAGAAAGCTTATCATCTTACTCTCACATTCTCGATCCAGAGATGAACAAGATCACTTTACAAAGCCTGGATTTTTTTCTTTCATGCCCTGCTCCAGAATTTATGTCTTTTAGATATTAAAACTGCCTGTTTTAACTTTCGAAGAAAGTATCTTCCCTAAGAGACTGTATAGAAGAAGCCTGAGCAATTCTCTAGCAAACAATGTGCTAATACTGCTTGTAAGCCTTGTGTGATTTCAACCCACAGCGTCTAATTCAGTTAATGTGCTATACGGTTTAATTGGGAAGTACAGGCTAATCTATTAACCTGATCTTTTTTTATTGCGGTGGTGGGGGACACAGGAGTGTCAAGACAGGGTATCTCTGTGTAGCCCTGGCTGTCCTGAAACTCTCTCTCTGTAGAGCAGACTGGCCTTGAACTCAAGAGATCCACCTGCCTCTGCCTCCCAAGTGATGAGATTAGAAGTGTGATCCACCACCGCTCAGTTGACTCAAATTATTTTTAATAATTATTTGAAAATAGCAAATAGACAGAAATTCTTTAAACCAAAATAGAAACCGTATGGTTGAGTCTATTAGAACTTTCTACATTTATTTCTAAATCTCCCCTAAATTAAAATAGTCTGACTTACTTGGGAAACAAGAGTGGCATTTCAACTGTCTGGGTTTCTCTGTGACCTTGACAGGACAGCCTGAGTGCTACTTCTATTTCTTCTGTGTTGATATGTGTGTCTGTGTGTGTGTGTGTACTCACTCATGTGCATGCACACACACATTCTTACAAGTGCTTCTATTCAGAAGCCAGAGAAGAATTCATATTGTACTGTAGTCACAATCCCCTTTCCACCTCAGCTCAGCTCATGGTTTCACACCTAGGCTAGCTTGCCAGCAAGCCTCAGGTGTTCTCCTGTGTCTGCTCCACTCACTCTACCCTATTGGTTGGTTTTCTTCTT